CCAAACATGTACATTATAAAATTAACCTACAACCGTTGCTTCCCAAAGTCGTTACAGCGGACGATGAAAGAGAACTGAGACATTCAATAACGTCTAATTAGCAAGGAGGTAGATCTGGAAAGTTCTGTGGTTCTTCTTCTAAATTCACGATGTTGAACGATCGTGTGCTGCTCCTCAGTGGCAGAAAGTGGAATTACACCCCAAAACAACCGCATAACTAAGCTAGTCCTTGAAAACATAAAATCCATCAAATAATGGTACCGAGAACCCAGAACCCGTGATGGAGGCGGGTTTACTGTATAGCAAACATACCAGGGAAAGTAACTTGCAATTCTTTTTTTTTTTCAAGAATAAAGCCGAAAACAATTCAAGGGAAAACAACCAGATTAAATTCTAAACGGGGCAAAATCGCGGGTAAAGACGAAAAATTAGAAGAATAAAGTCTAAAAAATTATGAGCAAAAAAACTTGCAATAGTTACAGGCAAACCAAGTGATTTTACAATGATGATGTCAATTTTTTTTACAATAAATTCATAATATTACAAGAATAAAGGTAAAGTATGTGCAACAGCCTAAAAAAAATCTTTAAATCCATATCCACTGTCGTCCGAAACGGGGGCATCGGAGCTCTTGTTTTCGGGGACATGATTCTGATACTCACACTGCAAGTGGAGTCATCAACATCCATTCAGGCCTGCTTCCAGGGAATGCAAAAAGACACTATGGGCACTTGGCTTCCGAACCACTTGGACCAGACCCGAGTAATTGGAGCCCTTTCGAAGCCGAGATGCATGGCAGCTGACAACAATGGATGTTACGCAACGGAAGCTTATATGCCAAACTTTGGTACAATGTGGCTCAAGTGAGGTCATGTTGAGTACGGCCTACTTCTTCAGACCCTCACCAGTGGAATTTTACTGATGCCAATGGCCCAGCATTGCCGAAAGCTTCTCTCCTGATGCCATTTGGGAGGTTTTTTTTTTTGTTGAGGTTGGGTGAGAATAAAACAGCAACTCAGCTGGAAAAAAAAATGTAAAAAGTAATAAGTCTGATTTCACAGAGACCTAGAGTAAAGTGGGGGGGGGCACATCTTTCAAAAAGACTATTTAAAAGTGCATGGACTGAGAACTAAGAAGTACTCAAATATGGAGATATAGCGCTACCCATTTTTTTTTTCAGTTTTCCTGATTTTGGTGACGCTGTTTTTTCTCACATCAGATTTTTACAGTTTTCCCAAAATTTTACATTCTGCCTGCCCCAAACCATTCTAACTTTTTAGTGTTCACCTAATCCCTACCACAATTTTTTTCAAGATTTCAATATAAATCCAAAATTATTATGATTTTTCTTCTCATTTCAATTGCTAATGACCGATTCAAACCATTCCAACTGTAAACTGTTCAGCTTATCCCAAGAACACTTTTTTTTAAAATTTCAACGTAAAAGCCAAAAAATGTCTACATATTCACCTCTTGTTTCCATATGTATTAACCGATTCAAAACCATTCCAACTTCAACCTGTTCAGCTCATTCCAGGTCATTGTCATATCATTCCACATAATTCAATTTAATTCCCTTTCATTCTATTTCATTTGAAATCATTCCAAATGGCTACATGTCTTTTCATTCAGCTTTTAAGCTTTCACATGCAATTTCTCCAGGTGGGATGCAATAAACTAACAAAACAACAACAACAACAACTACACCTGTTTAGCTCTGGTAACATCACAGAAATCAACATGCAAGTTATTTTCTGGAATTTAAACATGCTCCCCAGCCACAGTTGGTTATTATGTAATGCATACCGGTCGAACACAAGGGTGGATTTTTCACAGGCGCACACACATATAAAAGAAAAGCAGAATTTCTATCGAGACCTTAGCAAGCACCATGAATACAAAAGCTTATTACAGACACTGATGCTACGACCTACGTGTGAATGCTGCGTGCGTATCTTGCTGCTGTGACTGCTGCTGGCAATGTGAGCAAGTAGGAAAGTTCCACAAGCTTCTATTAGCTTGGCTACCTGCCAGTGGGCTTTCTCTGGACCCCCCTCACCCCCACTTATAGCCTCCCCAGCGCCGTCTAGAGGATATAGGAATGTTTAGTATAGGATACTGTGCATACACTTATTTGTAGACACATACTCTTAACCAGGGGGGAAGCTACAACTTTTTCACTGGGGTGGCCAGAATGACATGTTTGAATCACTAAGGCAGGGATGGGCCACTTAAATGATGGAGGGGTCCACAACTTTTCAGTCGCGCTACTCAGGGGGCCTCATCGTACCATGCATGTCCTAACCAGATGGACGACTCCATAAGTTTGGATGCATTTTTGTATAAATTGCCAGACAAAATGATTTTGTAGACTGTGTGGATTGGATTTTTTCATTATAGGTATTTTTTGTTGTTGTTTTGCCTTTTTTTACATCCTGTTAGTTTTAATTACTTCTTACAGCAAGTTTGTGAGTTGTTATTATTATTTTTTATTCTTGATGGATGAATACCAATACTGTACCAGGTATCAGTATATGGCCGATACGACGGAGATCGATATATTATCGGTCGTTCTCTTGTGGCCATTTTAGGATCAGGAACTTAAGACAGACATGTCTGACAAATACATTTGAGAATGTATTTATTTAAATTAATTTTATTGTGTGTTCTATGCAAAATATATATTTGATGAACACATGGCAAAAATATCAGAGAAAATTGCTATCAAATATATGGAGTATTTGTCAAGTGCAAGATAAAAAAAAAAGTCCATTTTGTGTAATCGAGTAAAATGAAACACATTTGACAATAAAGTTGTACTTGACTTGACTTGAAATACAACTCTCAAATAACTGACGTTCCTTCTTCTGTAGCTATGGATTACATTTTCTTGTAATATCCAACATTTATCTAAGTGCTTTTTTCCCCTGTAATATCTGGAGTTTATTCTTGTAAAGTGAGATTCTCCACAGACATATATTCTTTTTGAAATTACCCCATCCAATAATCTAAACTTTATTCTCATAATATTAAGATTCTACTCTGTTCCCCTAAAATTTAATTATTTCACATAAGAAAAAAAACTCTTCATGACCTGTGTTGTGACAAATTTTAAACATAAATACTGTCCTTATACTGTAGTTCCATGATCTCAGTGGCGTCGAAGTTAAACCACGAGACGAAGCAGAAAAAATGTTTTGCGTTTAACTGTTATTTCACATGTTGTCACTTACGCTTTTCTAAAACTGTAATATTAAGAACTGTGTAACAAAGTTATCGGTAAGGCACTTAAATCGGATTGACTGATTCTTGTGCTGTCGTTTTTTATAAATTAAAAAGAAGGGAAAAACCAGATGACGTCACTCACCCGTCCTTTCTGATTGGCTGAGCGCGCGTGTACGTAGGACCGTCCGGAAGATGTCGCTCAGGCCAGTCCTAAAAAACTTCCGCCTTAAGTTGTAAAGAAAACATAGCTGCTTAAAAAAGGTTTTTTTTTCGGACGACGTACGCACCCTTGCTTAAGGAGTCCGAACACAGGTAGAGACAAGCACACGCTTCTCACCTCGTCGCACACCCGCCGCATAAGCACTTGGCGTCGCGTGTTTTCCTTTCGCGGGGCCACATTTTAGCGGGGCCGAGACAAATCTTACGCTTCGCTCTTGCTAAGCTAGCACGGCTAGCGCGTCCGCGGCGCTGGGGGAAATGCTAACACTTTAGCTATTCCTCCATCGATCCACTCGGGCTTAATACGCTATAATTGATCATCGAAACGAGGCTGACTTGGACATTTAAAGCGGTCTGTTGAGAGGCGTTTCGACCGTCTTGACGCATTCACTAGAACGTTAGAACGGAGGGAAAGATACGTCGGCTACTTTCGGAGCTAGGGTAGCATAGCCGCCGCTAAAAGGCTGCTTTCAAGGTGGGCTAGGAGAGAAAAGCGTCTTAAAAGAAAACAACGTTGTTGCATTAACGACATATTCAGTGTGGGAATACGTCAGTTAAATTCACAATTATAGGGAATTTTCTTAAACTCTTACTTCGTTATATATCCACTGGGTTGATATTTCCACACACCGGCAAAGTGGAACGCTTCCAGTTTGCGAAATTTTATGACTCGTCATGTTAGGTGTTAAAAGACACACACGTTGGCCTGCCACTCCCATCTCTCTCTCTCGCGGTCTCTGACACACACGCTCTCTCTCTGTCTCTCACTCTCACTCACACACACACACAGAATTCTTAAGTTTTCACTAACCAAACAAGTGTCGTGAACCGAAAAGACACACTGAGAGACACACACACAACAACCAATTATTATTACCTTAAAACACGTTTCACGCCCTTTTTCTTTTTGTTTGGGGGTTTACCACATTCATTTTATGTGCTCAAGTGTCCCATAGTAGGTCACACGTTTTGAAATGTGTCGAAGTCGGGTCATCTTCGTTTTGCAATCTGTTGTGTTAATTTATCAGGCAGTAGTTCCTCGTAAATAAACTCATTTATCCAAACCCTTTATGCTCACCAGGCTCGTGTGAATGAACTAAAATATTACGAATGAAAACAAAAACAATTTTACGGGAATAAGGTCAAAATATTCCAAGAAAAAGTTTTCTCGAGACTAAAGTTGAAACTTTACGAGAACAAAGTCACAGTGTTCTGGGGATATAGCGGCAATATTACAAGATTTAAGTGGATAGACAACGAGGGAACGAAAACTCGGATGTGTTGCATGAAAAAAAAAATTGAAATGTTTAATGATTTGTTAGGAGAGTTGCATGAATACCGTCACACTTTCACAGTGGGAAAACTTTTTTTTTTCATAGATAACAGCCATACAAGAAAACTTACACGAGAATTACATCATTTTGAGAATTACATCTTAGCCAACAAGAAAATATAAAGTTGAACATGTTTCATCAATGAGATGTTTACTTAAATTCTGGTTTTCCCTGTTGTGTGTTTTTAAAGGTTGCCTTCCCTGAGAGCATTTTTTTTATAAGAACGTGCATGCGTGTGAGTGTGTTTGTATGTGAGTGAGTTTGTGTGCGTGTATATGTGTGGGTGTGTGTGCATGCGTGCGGGTGTGTGTGCGTGTTCCCCCCCAACCGCCATTTGACCCTGAGCCACTCCTCCCTGGAGGATGACAATGGAGGAGATGAAGAATGAAGCGGAGACAAACTCCATGGTATCCATGACGCTCTACACCGTGATGTACCCAGTCTTTAATGAGGTACAGGATAGATTTTTTTTTTTTTTAAATATAATTTTAGTATTGTTGTTTCCTTGTGATTTTTGTCAGCAAATAACGGAGGATAGTCCCCTCCCCAAAATGCTGTATGAATTTGCAAATGCCGTACCATGAAAATGCGGGGGCTCACTGTCCAAGTCTGCATTCCTGACTGACCCTGTGCGCTTTCTAATTTCTGCGTCAGCTGGAGAGGATCAACCTATCGGCAGCTCAGACGCTCAGAGCAGCCTTCATCAAGGTAAATACGAGAGAGACAAATGTAGCCATTTTGTCAAGAAAACTGCCACATGACCAAAAAAAAAATCATTTGTAATACAGTTTAACCAATATTAACATTACTCATATTTTTTTAAAAGGTCATTATGATATGAGGGTTTAGTGACAGGAAAAAAACCTGCAAGTTTGAGAGAAAATAGCCTTTCCCCTGGAGGATTGTTGCAAGCCCCCGAAAATTGAGGAAAATTTTGTTTATTTTACAATCTTGCAATATTCGTGTTTTATTGTTGTTGTTGTTGTAAAAAAAAGTGTTAATACATAAACAACTTTCCTCCGAGGAATTATATAGAAGTATTAAAGTATAAAAGTGGGTCCTCAAGTTACGAATGTGTCTATTTACCATTCAGGTTGTGCACCGAATTTTCGTGGAAAAATGACCTCTGAAAAAAGACTCTTTAAATGGAGAAGCTGTCATCCTCCCCTTTTTCTCCCGCTGAAGCATTTCATTTCTTCATAATAGTGTGTTTTTACTTGTGTTTTTAAAACACAAACAAGAAAAAAATAAGGGTAAACAATATAAGTATACCTTAGTTTTGGGGCTGGAACGGATTAATTGCATTTCCATTGTTTTTAGTGGGAAACATTGCCTCGATTTATGAAGGTTTCAGGTTAGACGGTGGAACCTCTATTTATTTTTAATATATATTTATTTGTGAATAAACGGTAGGCGTCCCCAAATGTCACTTGAAGCACTTTGTTGTGTTTATTATAATAATTTCGGACTTTACATTAATCCAACAGGCAGAGAGGGAGAACCCCGGCCTGACTCAGGACATCATCATGAAGATCTTGGAGAAGAAGAACGTCCAAATCAACTTCACCGAATCGCTACTGCGCATGGCCGCCGACGATGTGGAGGGTACGTACACAGCACGGTGCTCATTGCAAACCCGCCCGCAAACGCCTGTGATCCCGTCCCGTGGATCAATCAATGAAGCGAATCCTCTCGCGCAGAGTTCATGATCGAGCGGCCCGAACAGGAGTTCCAGGACCTGAATGACAAGGCCCGAGCGCTGAAACACATCCTCAGCAAAATCCCAGATGAGATCAATGACAGAGTACGCTTCCTACAGACTATCAAGTGAGTGCCAATGACGGGATTTTGCGAAACTTGCAATTTTTAATTGACGCGAACGACAATGGCTTCACGATGCTACTGTACTCCTTATGGTGGTACTTGGACAGCAAAGTATTTTTTTTAAGTGGTACTTGCTGGAAAAAGTTTGAGAACTACTGTTCTAAACCATCTTTCCTCAAGCTTCTCAAATCGAGCCTCTGCGTTTTTGCTCAACCACATCAGGCACGTCAGATGAACGTGATAGCGCTATTAAACGCTTAAGCCTTTAACCCCCTGAGCAGTGAATTTTTGTATTTGCGAAGGTCGCTGATGTTGATTTTTTTTTTTTTTGCCATGTTTTTGCCATGTTCTAACTAATTATCTTTTTTTTTTTAACTATCTAACTGTACTTGCATAAATCTTAGTTCTCACTGGTCATTTTCACCCATGTACAGAGACATAGCCAGCGCCATTAAAGAACTCCTGGACACAGTCAACAACGTCATTAAGAAATACCAGTACCAGAATCGCAGAGTGAGTAACGCCACCCGTTCACGCTTCAGAAATTCAATCCTTCGTGTACCTGCAATATTTTCTGATGTATGTGTGCTGGTCAAGGCCCTGGAGCATCAGAAAAAGGAGTTTGTGAAGTACTCGAAAAGCTTCAGCGACACCCTCAAAACGTACTTCAAAGATGGAAAGTAAGTGCAATGCGATGCAGTTCACGTCTGCTTTTTTTGTTCTGTTTTGCAACGAATGCAGCAGTGTAAACATCGGGGTTTCCCATGCCAAACTAAACTGGAATGCGCTCGCGTGGAAAACTTGACTGCTTTTCGAGCTTTGAGAGCGGCCATCTTTGTAGTCTTCACTGCTTTGCACTGTTGTCTTCTGTTGCCAGGGCGATAAACGTCTTCAACAGCGCAAATCGGCTCATCCACCAAACCAACCTCATACTGCAGACCTTCAAGATCGGGGCCTAGCACAGCGAGGACCATGCAGTCTACGGAAACCCGCCACCCAACCCTGCGACGGTGGTAATGGGGGAATTTGGAGCGGGCGGGCGGCTGGGTCGGCATGTGGTTGGAGCGCCCGACCCATATTTGTAAATTAGGAAGAGTTGATTTTAGGGTTTGGGGTCAACAGTGGGAGAGACTGAAAAGTGCCATTTTGTGTAGTCAATGAGGATTTTCCAGTCTCCAGCTGAAAGAAGCCCAAAAGTTTGCTTGTTTGATTTTATTTGGACACTTTTAATTTATAACCCTGATTTTTTTTTTCTTTTTTTTTTTCGGGGAGGTGTTTATTAAAGACTAATTGCCATTTTTCTAATATATTCATGTTGATCATTTTACGTATGTAAAAAAAAAAAAAAACAGCAAAACTGCAACAGTCATAGCTACGGCATCCATGTTGTTTCCCCGTCGCTCGGGACGTTTGACAGGCCTGCGAGGTGGCCATTTTAAGGCCCTGATTTTCATTCCTCTTCGCTTATCGTGACGACCACAACGCCAAATGACTTCCAAGCACCGTGTTGTGCACCTTACGACTACTTATAAGTCATACAACATTCCCTCCTCCTCAACAGAGTGTTAGCACGCCAAGACGCTCCTCGCTGTCGGGGGTTGTAAAGACAAGAAAGAAATTCTGTATTTAATTGATCCTGGTTGCAAATGTTCAATAAATAGTTTGGAAATGATCTCTTTTTGTCATTTTTGTTTGTTTGTTTGTTTGTTTTGACTCTTACAGAGGTGGTGTTTAGCCAAAGGTAATGCATTTGTTCTTCTCGAAAAACCTTAAGGGCATAAAATTGTTTAACCTTGAACCTTTGAAATGTAATTTGAAAACATTCAGGGTGAAAAATTCCATGACATAATCTGTTGTTCATTGAACTTTATTAAGGTGTAAATATCCTTTTTGGTTTTTTTGCATAACATTTTGTAAGAACATGACACGCATGTTTTTCTTTTTTTTGTTTGTTTTCCGCCACACTAGAAACTTTGAAAGTTACAGGTTAAGACTTTAATGTCATATTGATATTGAATTGACATCAGATGCCCGCTGGGAACACAATCTGGAGCTGAACATGTCCAAGGCTGCAGAAATTACGAGTGACATTTTGCCAAATTTTATCCTGTGTTGTGACAGTATTACCATAACCCAGCCGCTGGGGGGCAGTGCCCTCTCCTGGGGGTGCACTGTTCCCCAGTGCCGGTCCCAAGCCCGGAGAAATGGGGAGGGTTGCGTCAGGAATGGCATCCGGCGTAAAACTTTTGCCAAGACGACCATGCGAGTTGGTAGGACGGTTTACAGGGGCGGATGGAAATTACTGACTCGCTGTGGCGACCCCTGAATAGGGACGTGCCGAAAGGAGAAGAAGAAGTTGTGACAGTATTACCATATTCATAATATTTGTACCAATAAAACATTATTTTTCTGTTATATGTCCTCCTTAAAACGTTTTATTTTGTGTAACAGCAATTTTTCACCCCCAACACTTTTGCGTTGGTAGAAAGTAATGAATCAAAGTATGGCCAGATGAGAGCAAGTTGATTTTAGCAATGAACAAAACAGCAGCGAAAAAAAAAAATAGAACCAGCCACGACCCTGTTGCCGTTATAATTATTTTGGCACAGACGCAAACAGTCCATCACAGATTTCAGCGGATTTGCGACAAAGAACGCTCTACGCCACCACTTGACCTGCTAATCAAAAGCATTATAAATAGTTCTGTGGAAACAACACTCACACACACACATAACACCCATACACACGGGCCGTTATAAATATTTTCTCTGTTTTCTTCAATCGTCACTGAAGGTGGGTAGTGTTTTGCTTGGATCAGCTTGTGAAGCCTTCCTCAAATAATGTGACTGCTGCGACGGGGCCTTAAATTTCTGCAGCGGCGCCACTCGTAAACTCGACAGCTCATGAACCAAACCACATAATGTGTCCAACATCTATTTATAAATGGGAGGTAATAGCTTTTGTTGCAAGGCATACCACATCAAATGGCAATTAGGTGTTTTTACAAAAGCGCTGCTCTTATTGAGTTAATCGTAAAAAAATGACATGAATATTGTTTCTTCACAATTCACATTTTGTTAAATTAATGCCTTTAACCAAATTAAAAAGTATTATCTATTTTCATGACGACGATGATCCTCCTTAGGCAGATATGAGATCGAAGAGTGTAACGCACAAGGCGTCCACTGCGAGCCGCTGTTGCTCGCAACATGACACGACCGAACAATTGGCGCTCACGTGACGTCAGGCACGGAATCTCTTCCGCTGTCCACCCGCTGCCTTCGTCAAGCGTCCAGGCGATGCTTCAAGATGTATCTAATTATTTATCTTTATTTATATTATTTTGATTTAAAAATTTTAAAAATGCTAAATGAATTCAAGAAATACCACAGTACTCTTGATAATGTTAATGATGAATATGGGACGAATTATGAAAGAACGGGCCTACTTTGCCGAGTACATTTTTTTTGCTAATTTTTTGCTGTTTAAACTTGTTCATTGTTAGAATGGTGCGCATCCAAGCTCACGGTATTCAAGTGTAAATCTAATTTTCAACCTGTAGACGGCGCTGTACCCCTTGTTGATAATCCTACCAAAGCGTTTTCCTACCTTTCCCGAGCCGACGCTCATTGAATTGAATTATACATTCGAAAAAAAAATCTCAGCCCACACTAACAAGCAAAAGTGTCACAAAATGATATTGGAATAATAATGGTCTTTTCTCAATTTACTAACAAACGGTGCCTGTTTAATCGACCACTTACAGATCTTAGGGCCGCGCGGTGCATTATGGATAAGGGTCTCTCCAAGGCTATCAACTTTTGCTTTAGAACTATTGTGAAGCTGGGTACAAAGATGTGATGCGGACCATTTCAACTACTGGAAAGTTATTTTTTATTTTATTTAATCCATGTCGTCTGATACCCTTTACACGGACCGCCCTCTGCGGAGACACGACAGTTTAGATTAATGAAGTTTTTATTGACATTTCTCACGATGTGTGCAGCGACGGCGGTGCGTGTGCAACGCCGGGACATAAGGATGACACCGTTAGGGCATTTGTGCTCATTTGCTCAGTCCACCACTATCAGCAAAACACAAATAGGCAGAACAAATGTGTTGCTTTGCTCACATGACGTGAGTGAAGTCACTGAGGCAACGTAACACTCAACGAATCAACTCCCAATGTGGCATGCCACAGTAATATAGAAATATGAAAAAAAAATCCCCATTTAAAAACTGGATCTGTGTCTGGATCTTTTATTTTTTTTGTCAGGAAATTGTGACGAATGAACGGAGCTTTCCAATGCCTTGTAAATGTGTGTGTGAGTTTTTTTCCTCTTACACTAACGTTCAAGCCTCTAAATTCCTTTTGAACAGCTAAACATGGCACCTGCCGATTTGTCACATGAGGCTCAAAGCCTTTTAAACAATGCTCGCAAGCTTTCAGGCGTGTTGGGTAGCCTCTCTTTATTTCCACGTCGATTCACACGCAAGCGGAGAGATCTGCAAGTGGCTTATTGAACACTAAGCTGTTACAGTGAAGCTCCGTATAGTCAAGGTTCTGCAATTGCAAATTTGCCATTTTTTTGGAACACATCCCCCCGTTATTTGAAAAAAAGAAACAAAAAACAAACAAACAAACAAACAAAAAATACCCCCCCACCTCCAAAAAATAACCAAACAAAAAACCCCAGTATTGCTTTTGCCATCTGGTGGGATCTTCATGTCAAGAAAGTCTGCTGACATGAGTCAAGGCGTTTAATTCAGACAAAAATAGTTCTTTGCCGTTGTCTGGTAGAATCTTGTTGTCAAGGAAGTATGTTTGAAGTGAGTTGAGGACTTTTGTGACAACCTGTAGTGCTTTGCTGCCATATGGTCGCATCTTAGTTTCAAAAAAGTATGTTAACATGAGTGTGTTAAAGTGAATTAAGGGATTTCACTTCAAAATAAGTAGTGCTTTTCTTCCCCATGGTGGCGTCTTGCCATGGTCATTGAGTGCATATTGCACATTGCACAATGCACTACGTCACTTTTATCCTCAATAGCCTCAAGTGCCATTGTTTTATGCTGCTTTTATTGTATATATCGTCTTTTATTGTATATATCGTCTATATGTTTATACTGTTTTAGACTACATTGTCTTTCACTGTTTGCTGAGGATTGAGAGAAATAAATTTCATCCATGCTACATGTCAATGTATGCATATTTGACAATAAAGTTGAACCTTGAACCTTGAACCTTGAACCTTGAGCATCACAGAGAACACATTCATCATGTGAAACAATGCCATTCGTATACTAAGGAGTAGGGCCGAACATTAAATTGGCTGGCCGATCTAATCGGCATTAGATTTAAAATCGGTAAAACCCTGAAAAATTTTTGTAACTATTGTGGGAGATGTGTTTTTTTTTTTTTTTTTTTTTACACAATACAACATCAGATAAAGACAATGACTTTCAAACATTGTCGCTAATTGTTGAGCGCTATTGACCATTAGAGACACACACACACACACACACACACACACACACACACACACCCACACTCACACACACACACACACACACACACACACACACACACAGAAAATAAAAGGCCCATCATTCATAATGAGAGGCACCTTTCCAGACAATAGATGTGATGTGAGAAGGGAAATGGCACCGTCTTAATTACTGTCTCTCTGTTGTTGACGTCCGTTTTATCTGGTGCGGATGCACACATCGCTCATTAAGTCGCCATATTATCGTCGTGACACAAGATGACTCTACAGGTCATTTACATTTACTGTGCTGCACTAAGATATGAACGACCCAATGATTGATGATGACTTGAGGTGTGAGCACTGTATAGTAGCCCTTGGGCAAATATTGAACAAATCTTCAAAAAAGTGAGAGTGAGTGAGTGAGTGAGTGAGAGAAAGAGAGAGAGAGAGAGAGAAACTCAAAGTCACACTACCATTTTGTGTTTAAATAGCCGTTAATTAAGAGGTTTCAAAACCGCAACTATCGATGCTAATTGTGAGCATGTCTGGCGTTTTTCATTTCTGAGTGTGAAGTGACACGGACATTTTCTGAGGCAAAGCAATGTGGTTGTTTTGCATACGTTTAATTCTCTTTGTTTTATGTTTAGTTTGGCAGTAAATTTCAACCGAGAGTTGCATTCAATAGTTTGTAGCCTGTTTTTTTCATGTGTTGTTCAATATTTGACAAACCGTTATTTATTGTCAGGTGAGTTAAATTGAGTTCACTGCCACCATAAATTGTTTGTATGTCAAGTTTGGAGTCAGAGTTCAGTTTTCATGTTAGGGATTCAAAGTAGGGTTGACAACATTGCACTTTCGGTAAAAATTGTCAACAAAACATAGATGCCTGCTGTATCTTTTTTTGGGGGGGGGAGCTGATTAAAACACAAGCAGCTGTCATGAGAAAGATTTAAGCGCCTAAATACCACAAAATTGGTATCGTTTGTTGGGCTTTCCCTCAAAATAGGTGCAAAAACAGAGCTGAGAGCTAAAAGTAGCTCTTTAGTGGGTGCACGGTGTAGCAGCCAACTCACAGCACTTTTTTTTTTTTTTGTGAGGTTCAAAAACATTCTGGAAAAGAAATGCTAACTGGCTTCCCGGGAAACACGTAGGTGGCAACAAGACTGTCAGTGGCTAATTAGCTTCA